AAGCTCAACTTCCATACAACCTATGGCCAGATGCATCTCTCGCCACAATATACCTAATCAATTGTATGCCATCTCCTGTGATAAACAATAAATCTCCATATCAACTAATCTTCAATCACCCACCCTCCTACAATCACCTTCGCACCTTCAGATGTGTGTGCTTTCCATAGTTTCCTCCTTTCACACGCCACAAACTAAAATCCAGATCTACTCTTTACATCTTCCAAGACTACTCGGACAAACACAAAGGTTACAAATGCTTTGATCAGTCCACTAGCAAAATAATCATCTCTCATCAACTTCAATTTGATGAATCAACATTCCCATTCTACAACCTCCATAGCAATAAAGTTCTTCCACCTAACCCCTATCTGCTCATTCCCACATATTCCATCTCAAAGTCATCAACAATTACACCTCCTCACTTCCAAACACTACTTGCTAGCTCACCACAATAATCCATTATTACCTCCCCAATTCAGTCCCCTCTCACCACCAGCTCATTCAACCAATCAAAACCCTCTCCCTCCACAAATGCTAATGTAAACCTTGCTCCTCATCATCCAATGATAAAAAATTATGTATATCTTCTCAAGAATGCTATAGTCTCAAACAGACACCTCGTCAATGATTTCATACATTCTCCTCTCACCTAATCTCTCTAGGATTTTCATCAAAGTAAAGCTGATTCTTCCCTCCTCATCTCCAATTCCCATGGACAATCCATCCATCTTATCATCTACGCTGATGACATTCTACTCACCAGCGCCACTCTAACAAAAATTCATCATATCATCCAAGACCTCAACTCTACCATCTCAGTGAAACACCTGGGCTATTGATCCAAGTTTCTAGGAATCCAAACTCATCATCAATCAAATCTCTTATTTCTATCCCAAGAAAACTATGCATTATATATACTCAATAAAACAGGATTCACATCTTACAAGCTTGCGGCTAATCCCACAACCGCCAAACAACATACTACTTACACCCTGAACCATCTTTTTAACCCGAACTATACCATCATCTCACTGGCTCTCTTCAATACCTAATCATAACCCAACCAGATATAGCATATGCAGTAAATCAACTATGTCAACACATGCACAATCCTCTACCAGAACACTCTCAAATGCTCAAACACTTACTTCGATACATCAAGGGCTCGACAACATATGGAATACCTATCAGCATCGGTCCACTCAAACTACATTCATATTCCAATGCATACTAGGCGAGTGACCCATCTACATGTCAATCTACAACAGGTCACTGCTTATTTCTAGGCTCTACTCATATCTCTTGGACTGTCAAGAAACAACCAATCGTAGCTGCTGCAGACATCATCTGGTTACAAATGCTCCTACAGGACTTTCAAATACCTAGTGCATAACTGACGGTTATTTATTGTGACAAAAACTAACTCTGTCATTGCACTAGCCAACAATTCAATATTTCACGATAGAACTAAACACATCGAGAACGACTATCACTTCGTTTGCGAATAGGTAAAAGCTCGCCGCATTCACATTTCAGCAATCTCCTCCCAAGACCAGCCAACAGACATATTCACAAAAACTCTTTTGAGTCATAGATTTCGACCTCTTCGCACCAAACTTACGATTCAGCCACCACCGTACATTTGAGAGGAGCTAATAGTGACTACCACTCATCCCATCTCATGGAGCAGCACAAGCTTTTTTTCATCACAGGATTATAACTACCTAAGGAATATCCACCCTACACTTGCAAAGCAAAAGAACATTTTTTCTGTACACACAATATGTGATAACCCAAACTTTTAAAATATTTTTTTTTAAATGAAAAATATGAATTCCAGCATCATGCCTTGACGAAGAAGGAAGAGGAGGAAGGGTAGAAAAGAGGAGACAAAAAAAATGATTTTGGTCGTCAGATCGCTTCGCCGTTTTTTGTGCAACTTGGTCGGATTGAGGTAGATTACTCTGATCCTACTTTTGTTTTCAAATATTTTGATTTCAACATTTGATTCTCCCCATAACTAATTTTATTGCATTTTCCATGAATTTATTAAACTTCTACTGCATAAATTTTTATATGATATCATATTAATTATTATGAAGATTTTGACCATAACATTTTTGAATTTCACCTGATAAAATAGATTTATTGAATTTTATATGATTTTCCTTGAATAGAAGTATTTTTAAGCATATTGTTAATACAAGTATTATGAATGAATATAGACATGTGCTTGAGTAATAGATGGTCGCTATTACTATTAAAAAATGTGATAGTAATAACAACTTAATTGGTTTACCATTGGTAGCTTGCTTCTAGCTTGTGCTCATCTAAACGAGCTTGTGGATATGCATCGAAGATGTAGAATTTTTTATCCAGGGATCCAACTTGGATGTCTACATCTATCTCCCTCCCGATGACGCGTCTCGATGGATTCGAGATCTGTTGACGCGAGGGTAGTATGATGTGGGACATTTTAGTTATAATAGAGCTTAGGGACTAGCATACCTTCTTGTTTTGTAGAAACTTTTTAGCTTGTTATATGTGGTTGTTGTAAGGAGAAAAGGGCGATGAAGAATCTATGTTATTTTGAGCTTTGAGCTCGAATTTGGTTCCCTTGTTTGTGTGTTTCTTCTTGCATCTCAATCTTCCACCGATTACCTACATCAACAGTGTTCTTAAAAAATCAATGCAATTTACCAAAATTATTTATTTCATTTAGTATTATTGTAAATGCCATCCATTTCAGAGTGATTTTGATGTGAAACAATGTGGTGAAACAAGAATTGCTTGCATGAAATTAATAAATTGTGAACTTGGCGTAGTTAAACATAAATGAAGCGTATTCAAGATAGACTTTTGAAAAATTCCACGGAATAACTAAGTAACGACAATTGATTACAATTAAGAGTAATAGGAGACTAGAAAAATTACATCAGCAACAAATACGTGAAGCAAATGGCACGTTAGCAAAATCCATGGTTTAAAATCTAGATCATTCACCTTGGAATCCCTCACATACACTCTTGATATCACTCGGCTTAGCGGATGAAGGTTGCAAGCAAACTTAGGGATGCCACTAGAAGACATGTGATGCCGAGGGGACTAATCGGCGGGGAAGGAGCCGGAGTTGGAGGAGCGGGTGGTCGTCCGATGAGAATCCACGGTGCTCGGGGTTGTTGGAGTTTGATCGTCTCGGCGAGGCAGTAGAGGATTTGTTTAACGTATCTTTCCACCGTTTCGTCGTATTCCCAATCGGGTTCGTAGAAAGGAGAGAGGAGAATGTCGATCGCTCCTTGGGCGTTGTAATCAAAGCCGTGATCAAGCTCCGGATCAGTCATGCATGGTCATGGACGGATCTCGACGTCGTGGTGGTGTAAGGTGAATGAACCGTCACCTAGGAGAGGTGCGGCCAAGAGGGTGAAGAGAGGGGGGAGAGCTCGGGTTGGAGGTGGTGGGGAGAGGGGAAAGAAGAGGCGGCTTGGTTGTGGTGGGATTAGGAAGGAGTAGTAGAAAATCTGAAATTAATTATCATATTTAGTGAAATTAGAGGGAAGGATTTGAATTTGAATTCAAATTCAAATAAAAGGATTAATGGGAGGTGAGGAGTTATGGGAGGTAATTAGAGTATTGATTGAGGGCAATTTATGAAAATTGGAGAGAGGGGGACATTAAAGGGGGCCGGCCATATATAGGGAGGAGGGACGGGATTTGTGTTAATTAGGTGGGCCCACAAGGGAATAAACAAAGATTAAATCAAATCTGAATTTAACTTCAGATTTAATCTAATTAGTAAGTTTCCTAAATAGTTTCTAGCAAAAGGAAAGATTTTGAATCCAATTAAATTAATTGAATTTTCAATAAGAAAACTTTCCTAATTGCTAGGAGGAAATTTAGGAGAGGAAATCAAGGTAATTGAATTTGAATTTTCGAATTATGTGAGCAAGAGGGAGGCCCGGTGGGTGGCTTGGGTACGGTGGGGGCTGGGTGGATTCCGGCCGGCGGCTTGGTGGTTGGCAGGCTGGTGGGGCGGCCAAGGAGGCCAGCAGGCTGGGGTGGGGCTTGGTGGTGTTGGGGATGTAAGGAGGGGAGGTGGTGGTGGCCTGTCGGGTAGGGAGGAAGGAGGGGAGCTCGGGTGGTGGAAATTGGGGGGAGGGAAGAAGAAGAGATAGAGGGAAACCAAGAGCTCACCCGCAGGGGCTGTTGGGTACTTCAATTGAGCCTCTCCAAGGCTTCACCACTCTCTCTAGAACTCACACAGAGATCCAAAACAAAAGTTGAAATTTCATATCAATATTCATCATCAATTACAATGCAATAAGCCTCCTATAAATAGGCCAAAATGAAAGAAAACTAGAAAGACATAAATGCCCTCGGGGCTACAATAGCGACTCAATACCCACAAGGGTAAATTAGGAAAAATAGAAAAATGCAAGAACAAATAAAATACAAGATATATCAAAAGTAAAGACTCTGGATCGTAGCCGTCGATCTCCAGCTACGACGACGGTACACATGTCGAAATCTGATGTCCTCATCAGATCTAAACTTTACGCTCTCTTTCTCAATATAGTACTGACTAGAATGACCAAACATAATTCCAGCCTTCTCATTTCTACCAGCCACCAAGATACTGGTCAGCCAATATTTAGAAAGTAGCCATATTAAGACCAGCATATCACTAGTTGCAATCTAATGAAATCAACTAGCCAAACAGATGACATCTACTAATAAATAACATGGCATTTAAGATATAAGGGAAGCAAACAGCCAGCCCCTTAAGGTCATATCATATACTTGCATTAATTTATAGATTCTAAATCTTATATGCATAAAGCAAATATTCCATTTATCAAGATGCTATATTCATACTATTAACTCATCACCATTACCCTTATCCAAACCATTTCCTCTGGGTGCTAAATGATGCGTTCTTCATAAATGCAAACATCAGAGTTTAAAACAACACATCAAGAGGCCCAAAGTTAAGACATTACCAAGCAATGAAGAATATCTTGCTCTTCTGACAGTTTTCTTGCGTCACAAAATCAAAATCATAGACAGCATATCGGCAATCATTTTCAGGTAGGCATGCCAAGAAATCATCGTAGCTCTCAGCAGCACCTCCAGTTTTCTCCACAATCACCTCCTTTCGCTTCTCATCAATTTTGAAAATCACATATCGATGTGTTTTCTTTCTTTGTAGCTCTAAGAATGTGTCCCGGCAGTGATCAGCAACTCCCATCCCAGAGGACGCATTTGACTGTAGCAAAGAAAACACATTATAAGAAGAGGAAACATCAATGATTATGCCTCTGCAAATAAGAACGATATTGCATCAGTAAATGATCAGAACAGGTAACTACAATGATCATGCATTTGCATCAGACAGGGTAGTTCACCAGATATTTAAGACACAATCTGTTAAAAGTCACTTCCTAGTTACGACCCAAATACAGAACATAACTTTTTTATTCCATAAGGTGATCCAGTATAGCCGGACTACAAAACAAGATTGACAAAAAGTTTTATTGAAGCAACTATACCCAATATTCTTAAAGGGTCTAACAATGAGCTTTTAAAGAATCTAAGAAAACTTATGATGAATTAAACACCTCTATCTTATAAGGAGATTAAAGGAATTAAACTTTCTATGTACCAAAAAATTAGTGTAGTCAATGCATTAGGTTCTGCCAATACAAGGGCTAAAGAAGCGTTCACATAAAGATAAAATTAAAAAAATACAAAAGATAGGTAAGTTTAGGCATTAAGAATTTATTTAGGTTTCCCAAAAAAAAAGAATTTATTTAGGCTTTTCTAGTAATGATTTTTATAAACCTTTTGGCCTGCTTTACATTCTCATCAAACAGAGGCCAGTTTATTAAAAAACAATACATAAAAAAAAGTTCTACCAAGTTTCCAATACAAACAGAAAATTAGGAGAAGCACCTAACCTAAAGGATACAACAGATCAGCAGGGCTGAATATTTTGAATAATTAACAACAACCAACTTGCGCAAAACCAAAATTAGAACTACGCAAGTGAATAACTCAACTAAGCAATTAAATGAGTTGTATTAAAACCAAAAAAGGGGACTAGTTGACCCTGCTGATTTTTAAGCGCAACCAAATTTAATAGAATATTGTCGGTTACGCCTTGCACAAATAAAAGTAGAAAGTGTGGTAATGTCTAATGAAGAGAATAACAAAAATCGTAAGGAATGCAAGTAACATAAAGGAAAAACAGAATATGGAATGAGGTTAAAGACAAGCTGACAACCTGACACTTGAGAAGTAAGAAAGAGAAAAGTGCTACGCCCTAAATCTTCAAAAACCAAATTGAACTTTTTCAATGCTATTGCTTAAAGAATGTCAAAAAATATAAAGCTAATCTTTTTTTAATCTCACAAATAGGAGTGAACCTAACAATGACATGACTAAGTTTTAGTAGTGGGTAATCTGAGATCCTTACCATATTCACATACATCCGTTTGGAAATAACAGATTTAATAGTCATTGTATGCATATGTATGCAACCAAGGCATGTTGCGATTCAATGTTGTTTGTCAAAAGATACCAAGAACTTACTAAAGATAAGGGGAAAAAAAATCCAAAATGTAAAAGGGAAGAGAAATACAAGCCAAGTCTCCATTAATTATCTCAAGTGAATAAATCTTCAAAAGACCCAGTTGAACTTCGTAGAGAAGGGCAAGTCAAGAAAGCTAAAGAGATGATTCAAAAAGAGAAAGAGATTCAGAGTAGAATCTTAGAAATATTAAAAAGAGTTTACTAGATACTTTAGTGATACAAAGTTTCAACACCGAGTAAAAGATTTACATGATGCCCATGGCGGACATGCGGGACACTTAAGGTTTTGCCCCCATTGGCCTAGCCCAAAGGTTATTAACAGTTAATAATTTTAATTATTTTTTAGGTTATTAACACTTAATATGATTGTCACTCAACTCAACATTTTTTCCCTGCCTACTCAGTCATTCAATTATCATTTAGCATAATCTCACCCAGGACGGCATAGATCTCATCGTTCGCAGTCACACAAGGGCAGTTCTTGTTGTTCGAAACATTCACAGAAGCAGATCTCACTATTCATCACCCGTGCAAGGGAAACCTTGTCTTTCTCTACTTATGGGTCTCGTTGTTCCCAGCTTACATCCACGTTGAGCCATTATGTGTTGACCCCGCCCACCAGAGGGAAGTCCAGAGAGTATGTAGCCGTGACATCAAACCCTATTTGGTTAATATTCATCAAACGGGGTGTCAAATGTTGTTGGAACCCCTTTTTGAAGTATTTGGAGGTGTCAACCTTACTTCATATGGAGAAGAATGACAAAAGATTGAGTAGGTACATGGAGAGAGACAACAAGGTAAACACTTTTTTTTTTGTGATCACAACGCGTATAGAAATATTTGAAATAATTATTAAAATAATAATTTATTTCTTATATAAATAAATGTATCCATCCCTTTTTATTATCCCTTCACTTTTAAACACGAGCCAAACTGGTGGATCAAAATGCTCTTTGATTTTAATCTAAATTCTAAACTATTCAATCAGCCAACAAAAAAATCATAGAATCATGTTTATACTTAAATTGGGTGCAATGCAAGTAAAATATATACTTCAAGTAGGGCTGCAAGCAAACCAAACGTTCGACAAGCTACTCGTTGTTCGGTTCGATTAAAGCTCGTTTGTGATCGTTTAATTAGCTAAACAAAGAAAGTTGAACAATATTTTAAATACTCGATTCTTAAATAAACAAACTTGAACACTAATGCGTTCAGCTCATGTTCGTATTGAAGGAATGGTTAAACCCGGTCCAAGACCTAATGTGGATTGATTTACTAGCAAGCTAATATGAATGCAAGTCAATTCATTGAATCACTTGTTCCTTCACAGAAGCCAAAAAGTACACTGAGAATTAAAGTTCCCAAAAACCCCAATCTGATCTTGGTGACTTTGACTTAATCTAAACGATTGGCACTACAAAGTACATAGATGTTTAACACGTGATTTAATGCATTTGCAAAAAAATGCTCATAAATGCATCGCTTGTGGTTCATTGTGAAAATTTATCTATTTTTTCTTCAGTCGGTTCTTTGCTTTAAAATTGCTTCTAAACTCATGTCTTCTGCAAAGATGAAGAAATTTGAGCACCTTTTAAGCTTTGTAGTTGACAATGAACTCAAAAGGAAATCAATAGAGACAATGAAGTAAAAAAGCTTCACTATCTTCATGGTGATTTGCGTCAGAGTTGATGACTCCATTGAAAAAAATGTAAAGATCGAGCATCATAAGGAAAATTTAGAGTTAAGTCCACAAAGCAAAGTGATTGCTAAAGAAAACTTTAGGCTTGAGGGGGTACTGCAATGCCGTGAAGACCTTTAATGATGCAAATATCTACGCAATAGAGAGGGCCTCCAACGATTGACCTAAAAGGTGCTCTGAAAAGCACTCCAGTAGAGGATGTTTGTTGACCACTAACCACCTTTAGACCCAATCCGCCCAAACCCGACCCCTTGAGCCTTCATCCCGACTAGCCTGTTCAACCCATCCCACCTCGTGGCCCCAACTCACACATGTTCTCTCCCCAACCAACGCAACCATTCATTGCCTCCTGTAACTCCCCTCACGGCAATAAAACTCTCAGACGAACCACTCACCCTCTCATTCGACACACACAAACACGGAGAATAGCATGCTCGACTCTCTCATTTTCCCTCAATCACGTGCAGAACGCCACTCTCTCCTTCTCGTCTCCCTCAGCTGCATGCTTGACCCAATCCAATCGCTAGCCCACCATCCAGACAATCGACCCGACCACCATATTCACACGTAGGGATTCCAAGCGCAACTCTATTCCGCAAGTCAGACCCGCAGAACTGCACGTCGTTACGAACCAATCCACCTCCATCTCTTTGTGTAACACACATACACAGGAAGCCGAAGGAAGACCTCCGAGCCCGACTCCTTCAATTGTGTCTCCCTCGGTCGTAGTCGAGCACGTCTCCCTCAACCACACACAATCCTCCCCAGCCTCCAGCGCTCGACCTGACTCAGCACGCAGGACCCCTGGCCGAGCCTGATATCCTCTCTTGTCCCCCTCAGTTGCACATGGGAAGACCACACTCCCTCATGCCCGCAAGACCTCCCTCTCCCTCAATTAAACCTAATCCGCCTACCTGTCCTGCAACCCGATCCTAGACAACCCGCAAACCCACGCAAAAGCCCCCAATCTGCGATCCCACACTTCGGTCTGACATCGCTCATCTTCGATCCAATTATCCAAACCCCTCGTCCCCAGCTCCGATCGAATCAACCACACTCGAACCTTTTGTCTCCTATTCTCGTATGCATGCAGCATAGGAGTGTTTGTAAAAAATAATAAATAAATAAAAAATAAGTACTTGCCAATTTGAAAACCTGCATTGTTATTTTTTGATCCAGGAATAAATATTGATTTGAAGCCCTCGTGTCGTCATATCTTGGATCCAGGCAAGAAAAACAACGACAAATGTCATTCCAACCTCTCTTTACGGGTAGGGGACATCAAGAGGCTGCCAGATTTTTGAAAAAATGTCTAAAAATAATAATAACAAATACCACTAACTTGAAGACCTGCGTAGTTGTAACTTTGATTTGAGCAGAAATATTTAATTTAAAGCCCTCGCGTCGTAGTATCTTTGATCCGTTCGGGAAGAACAATGGCAAGTGTCCCAACCAAGGGTCTAAAAATCGAACCGGACCAGCCTGTTCAACCGGTTGAACCGGGAACCGGTCTAAGGACATGTCTGGTCCTACCATTAGAGCCAGGTTGCATTCAAACCGGCCAAAAACCAGTTCAATTATCGGTTGAGCCGTCAAACCGCTGATTCAGGTGCGTTTGAAAGAACCGGCCCTCGCGTGATAAAGTTTCAAGAGAAGTGCAATGGAGAGTTCTTGAAAAAAAAGTAGTTAATAATGCTTATATTCAAATCATTAAAGATATGTATGCAGGAGCTATTACTTGTGTCCAAACACAAGGTGATTTGAACAAGTATTTTCTTATTTCAATTAGATTACATCAAGTATCAGCCTTAAGCCCATATATTTTTGCTTTAGTCATCGATGTTCTCACTAGACATTTGCAAGAGGTTGTACCCTAGTGTATGCTTTTTTCTAATGATATTCTTCTTGTTTATAACACTAGAGAAGGAGTTGAATGTAAACTTGAATTATGGAGGTCAACCTTAACGTCTAAAGGC